TTCCTTCCCTCCTTCGTATTTATTTTGAGAGAGAGAGAGAGAAAGCGAGCTTGAGTAGGGGAGGGGCAGAGAGAGAGGGAGAGAGAGAATCCCAAGCAGGCTCCACACTGTCAGTGCAAGAGCCCCTAACATGGGGCTTAATCCCAGGAACCATGAGATCATGACCGCAGCCAAAATCAAGAGCTTAGTTGGCTGAGCCACCCAAGCACCCCTTTCTTTCTTTTTCAAAAAAAATAATTTCAGAAGTTTTAAAGAACTATCACAACGATAGTATCTTCTAATTCTCTTAAGGTTGCTTTCTTCTCTTTTAGTCTAAATATTTGATTCACTTATTGTCCTGAGCATCATTAAAAGGAGACTGGGTGACTATTGCTCCCTAAGTTTTGCTCACAGGTAAAAAGCAGATGGCCTAAGGCCCTGGAACAGTAGGCCTCATTCTAGCTGAGTGACCCCAGCCACACTTGCTAATCTCTCATTGTGCCTCACCTGCAAAATGGGCAGGTGATAGTATTTACCTTAGGGTAGTGGTGAGAATTAAGAGGTGATGTATATAGAATGCCTGGCTCAAAATAGGTGCTTAATAAAGAATATCACTTAGTGATAGCAATAATAAGCTGCCAGAGCGAAGAGATGCTATCTCTTTACAGCACTAGAAGCCAGGTAACAATAGAAAGCTGGTGGGGTGCCTGGTTGGCTCAGTTGGTAGAACATGGGACTCTTGATCTCGGTGTTCTAAGTTTCAGACCCACACTGGGTGTCAAGATTACATTAAAAATAAAATCTTACAAAAATAAAGAAAACTGGTACTGAGACTTACCTTCTCCTCCCTGAACTGAGTGTTATTTAGTTTTTTGGTATCCTCTGTCCTTACCTCTTTAGCCCTGGGAAGAGGACTGGCCTTTAACAGCTGAGCTAGTCTTCAACTATTTTTCTACTGCCTAGTGTGTGGGAAAGGAGAGGGAAGTGAGAAAAAGAAACCAAGCAGATCAGCAAGCAAGGCTATCAATTTCAGAGATGCCCCTGTTCCAAGCATTCCTCTTCCTGCTCCTCACTTCCTCCTGTTCCCCTGAGACTGTCACTCTCCTGGCTGAGATGAACCTCATGGGACTTGACAGTTCAGATCACTCTGGCCAGTAACAGAGAAAACCAGGAGGCAAGTGTCACACTTAACCGTCACCATAAGCTTGAGCCTCCTGGGGCCGCTCCCCTCCAGCGGGTGTCTGCACTTTGTGCTAGTTAATCGCTGGCTCTGGGCTCCTGGTTTCTGCAGCGTCGGTGGAGGTTCGAGAGATGCTGGCCACCAGATGATACCATTTCCCACACGGCCCCGGGGGTGAGAGTGTCTGCCCCGCTACTGATGTCTGGATGACCTCCGCTTTCCCCCTTTTGATCTTTCAGTCCTTCCAATGCTTTTGTAACAACTTCCTGTAGTAAATTCCCCGTTTTGAAATTCTTAGGGGTGTCTGCTTTCCTGGCTAGATAAGCACCGAGCTGGCCTCACGGTGGCCCAGCCCACTGGCTGCTGAGGGCTGGGCGCTCCTGGGGCCTCTGTGAAGATGGCACCTCTGCAAGCAGATGAGAAAACTGGGGTGTCGGCTGAGGAAAGTCCTGGTCGCTTGTGTGGGTGGTCAAAACTGGACAGCAAACGACAGGTTTTTGGCTTTGCATTTCCACACACCACTCAAGGCCCTTCTGAGACCCTCCCAGGCCCTCCTCACACCACCCTGGTTTGTACCGTGACACCAAGGGGGTGTGTATGTCCTTTCTGCCGCCTCCCGCACACCCCCCCCCCCCCC